GCTTTGCCAATTCCACCCAAGCCTATTCTTTCTTCTCCCCCAAGACCTCTACCTGATTCCTCTGCCACATCTGGTTGCGATACTATGTCACTAGTAGATTAATTTGTATACCTGGTTTATCTTTTATGTCTTTATAAGGAATTTGTACTAATTGTTTAGGCTATAAATCTGTGACAGTACAAGGCTCATGAATAGTTTCATGTTAGGTTGATATGTTAGTTTTCCTTGTGTTTGGTTTAAGTGAGCTATTGGCCCACAGCATTAGGATTCCAAGATAATGCAATAAATATTCTTGGTGAGGTCTTGACTCTTTGAAAGATGAAAGCGTGATTACTAGAAGATTTTTCTGTCAAAATCCATTTTTCATCAATGCAACATAATGCTTATGCATGGCAAAACTTTGTCATTAGTTTCTTTTTTCTTTTTTTTTTTCCCTCTCTCTTGTTGATGCCTTGATTCGTGCCTAGAGACTCTAGACAGATGATTTTTCTATTTCTTTGAGTGACATGATAAACCCTTCATTGTCTCATTAATAATGGTAAAATTTTAGCCCTAGGAGAGGGTTGCTTTGGTACAAGACTACTCAAAATTGGAGGAATTCATATCATTTATCATCCCTTCAATTCATATCCTGCTTTTGTTAACAATTGTTATTGCCAAGGGAACTAGAGTATTGTTTACCTGTTTCATGGTATATGTTCAAGAGGAAGAAGTTACCAATTATACCAATGGGCATTTTCAAGAAGAAAACCAAGAGTGACTAAGATAATATTTGGGATGGAAAAAAATGTCGTGCCAAATTGCAGCTAGAATAGCTTGAGGGCTTCAATACCAGCTCCATGGATGCAATACAATGATTCTACATTTGGACATAGAGTATTGCAGCATTATTCTTCATGAGGATTTTGAACTATCAAAACTATGCTAATAAATTTAGAAAGGTTGATGAAAGAAATAATTTTGAAAAAGTTGCATTACAAGAATAGGAGAACAGAAGGAGATTCTTATCTAGCTTAGGAAACTGCTAATACATTTGAGAAAGTTGATGAATGAAATAAATTATTTTGTTTACGCTATAAATTACCGGAGTAGACAAGCCAGAACACAAAAATCAGGTAAATGAGCTTTATATACCAGGTAGAGCTTGGTATCTCCTAAACCGTGTACATTCCAATTTGGATTATAAGGTCTAGTCTGGGATGAAATTTACAGACACCATCTTTTGTTGAATATATGGTGGATGTTACAAGTTGTACACACTATTCATTATATGCCTTCAAATTCTAGCAAAATAAGAAGCTGAAAAAACTCAAATACTGGCATTAGATGTTGAAGAGTTACTAACCCATTTTGCAGTAACAAAATCCGAGGAGAGAGTCTGAGGTCCACTCTTCAACAACACATCCTCAATTGCTAAAACGTGCATCTGATCACCTACCTTCACTTTATTGTAGTTTCCACTCTGTACTTCCTTTAAAGCCTCATGGACCTCTCTCATCATTGGTCTCACGTCCTTCCCACCTTGAAGGCACTGAAATGCCACTGCTGTCACTAAAGTTATCATTGTTCTTATGTTGTAGTCTGATTCAAACCCAAGAGATGGATCTACAAGCTCGTGCAATGCTTGGTTTTGAATCTTGTTGATGGCCATGTTAGACAAGTTTATCTCATGGCGGTGCCTGGTGATGTCAACCGCTAGCTTGGATGATATTAGCCCAATCAAGACAACCCCAAAGCTAAAGACATCACTCTTGTCTGTAAGCTAGTAGCATTCACGATATTCAGGACCAACATAACTAGGAGTCCCCTTTGGAGCAGTAGAAACTTGGGTAGCATTTAATGGAAAGAGACTAGAAAGTCCAAAATCTGCAACTCTAACACAAAAGTTCTCGTCAACGAATGTTGTCGGTTTTCACATCACGGTGGATAATATTAGAAGCATGGAGGTATATCAATGCATTTGCAGTCTCTATGGAAATCTTCAAAAGAATGGACCATGAAAGTGAACCAGTTTTGGCACCTTCACCATGAAGATGGTTAGCAATAGTGCGATTACAAATGCATTTGTATACAAGCAAGAGTTCATAGCTGTGGCGAGAAGTGTAGCCATAAAGTGGGACAAGATTTGGGTGACGCAACTGTCCTAGGATCCCAATTTCATTCCAGAATTGCTCAACTCTTTTGTATTGTTTTCATATAAGCGTTTGACTGCAACAAGGCGCCCATCTTGTAGTTTGCCTGGTCTGGGAAGGACAAGAGGAATAAGATTTTCATCAAACTATCAACATCTCTAACTAGTAACACTGAAAAAAAAAAAAGATTTTTTGTTGAGTTCTCCCCTCACCATAATATACAGTGCCTAAGCCTCCATCACCAAGCTCACTTGTAGAATCAAATTTATTGGTGGCCCTTTCAAGTTCATTGTAGCTAAAATGATGAACTCCAGGGAAGACTCCCATCTCAGAATCAGTCTGTGGAGGTAAGGAGTTGCCTTGTGAAAATGAGTATGAGCGAGCATATTTGAGAGCTTTCTTCTGCCGTTGGTAGAGGATGAACACAGTGCTCGCTATTAACACAACTCCAACACCACAGCCAATACCCGTAGATAAATTATGATTGATAAGACATCTGCTTTTAGATACAGCACGAGAAAGAATAGTCATTGTATTAATTACCTATTCCAAGCTTTAGTCCCAAATGTCGTTTATCTTTGACAGTAGGAACATTTGTGACAGTAAGAACATAAAGCGAAAAATGGTTAGATAATATGGAGAATAATTGCAATTATAGGCTTCATGAAATCTTAGGATGAATAAGGAAAAGGCAGGGAACAGAACACTACATTGAATCAGAACAAACTTTCTAGAATCATTTAGGATGAATACTGTGCCATATGGTTAATTGCTTCCCAACAAGCAAAAGTAAAACAATACACAAAAATCA